GCGAGTTTTTAACCGTGATGGCGTACATTAACCATTACACAAAATTGCACGACTGACCTTGGGTCACAGGGCGTTTGTGAATTTCACAGAAGTTCATACATTGTCCCATATCACATTTCCTGGTGGGATTGTCTATGAAGCAAAGTCTTTCGTTTTATACGCAAGTTCTATATATAATCTAATGGTAGTCTCGAAAACCTGCTTATAAAACAAATATACAGATATATTGCTGGCGGCCGATTACTCTGATTGATGACTGTGAATACCTTTGAAGCTTGAAAGAAGCGAACAAAATGTGCTACTGTAGTTATACACACAGCATATTATTAGGTAATTACCTTATAAAATCACGCCTTTCAACAAATTTCCACTTCAGGATTGGCTCTCAAAATTGCATCAAGATCCGGAAACCAAAGCATTCAAAAAGTATAACGCCAAAGAAAAGACAATCACTTATAACTGAAGAGTTAGCACTCCTCCAGTAACATGCTATAAATTTCTATCTTATCAAGTCAAAACGATGGCGTATTCACGCTAGTAAGCGTTTTTTAGGTAAATTGTTTTCACCCATAAGATTATTTTGAATAGCATAAGTGAAACATTTATTTAAATAAACATAAATGCAATATTTTCTTACTCTTTTTACTATTAATGGAGGACCCTCACTCGTAAATTAACATAAAAAGTACAAGCGCATTAGGTCGCGACACAATTTAGGCATTTATGGGGATATCTCTTATTAGATAAACGTCAATTAAAACAAAAATCAGTGACCCACTTGAACGCCTAAGCGTCTCAAGCATTCCGCGCGATTTGGAGCTACACTCGCTTGGCATGCGTGTCGCGATAGTAAGTTTCTTCTCTCACGGCTGACCGCTAGGTTACTGGCTCAAATAAGGGAGTTGGCTTTGGAATAGTTGAGAAGCTAAGTAGGCAGCTAGATCGCAAAGTCTGGGACGTGTATCTTACAGGTTTTTTTCCACGTGCACTAATTTTCTTCAGCCAGGGATACCGATCGCGGTCAAAAGTCCGTCAACGAATTGGCTGTAAAAGGTCTAGCTGTGAAATTCCATCAACTCGACATAACCGACCCAGGTAGTAGGAGCAGATTGGTGGATTTTATGCGCAATAACTACCCAGAGGGAGTTAACATATTCGTCAACAATGCCGGCATAGCGTACAAGGTATTTCATCTCCTCCGTTAGATTTATAAAGTTTGATTCAACGGCTCCTTTTGGTGAGCAAGCAAGTGTCACCATAGCCACAAATTTTACTGCCACTATGGCCATGTACCATGACATCCTACCTATTCTTGCTAAACACGCTAGGTGATTCCTTTCTTCGATAATTGCCCTTAGAGTAGTAAATGTGTCAAGCATTGTCGGCCTATACAGTCTGAAGAAGTTGGGTCCCGAGCTGTATGATAAATTTACATCTCCAATGACTACGGAGGAGCTAGATGTTCTCGTCGAGGAATTCATCAAGTATGAGTATAGAGCTGCTTTCTTTCACCATCACTCTTGATAAAAACTGCACATCTTTGTCTAATAGACTAGCTCAGAAAAGCGAGCACCAATCAAAAGGATGGCCGGACAGCGCCTACGGTGTCTCAAAATTGGCCCTAACGAAGGCTACGTTCATAGAGGCCGAGAAACTCGCCCGGGATCCGCGCAAAATCCTGCTTAATTGTGTAAGTATAAGTAAATATGCCAAATCTTTGTGAGCCTTGCTCATTATGTCCATTCCAGTGCTGCCCTGGGTACGTCGCAACCGATATGTCAAGTCATAAAGGAACTAAGACAATAATGGAAGGTAAGGTTTCTATACATTTCTAATCGTATTTGCTTCAGGCGCCGATACGCCCTCGTATCTAGCCCTCCTTCCTGAGGATACGTGCGAGCCTTCCGGCAAGTTCGTGTCCGAGAGAAAGGTGGTTCCTTGGTCAAAGGAGCCGCTAGTCTAATCGTTTTGTTTATCTTTACACCTTTTGTACGCGATTTTCGCCAAAATGACGACAAGCCTACGAGATTGTTAATTACTCCAGGCTGGATTGTTTAATACTTGTTACAATACTGATTCAAAGACTATATATTGAATACTTAACCAATTTATCCAAACAATATGTCATACACTGGCCTTCTATTTTACAAAGTTTTAAGTGAAAGAAGAGTTAACATCAGTGTGGTTGCAGACACAAGTGGCCTGCATTGGTCATTGGTAAAGAGGGGAAAACAATTAGCTATTCCTTAGCTGGCACCAGCTGAGGCGAAAATGATCATATGAGGTACGTTTATTATGTTGCGAGCGAATGATAATAAGTGCACGAAGGTAATACAGGAGATAAATAAAAGCGACCTGTTTGGATTCGTTGTGCCTTGGATATAGTAGCGTAATGTCATAGTGTTCCTCAGTGAATCCGTAAGGAGTTGGGTCGGCCGAGAACAGGGATAGTGCTCGGCAGCCGCATGAGCCGGAAAACCCAACAAAGTTTGGCACAAAAATCAGAGCCAAGGGCTAGTGTTTAGTTGGTTACCACACGCCTAGGCCAGTAAGGATAGGTCCTCAAACGAGGCATGTGCCGAGGGAGGTGGGGGATTCAGGAACTTGAAGCGATCCATTGTGGCCCTCCAGCCAAACTTGCTTAGGAGGACGTGGAAGGCCGATGGAAGCACTGAAGTCTGCAGGATGTGATCATCGTGTGGCAACCAGACATGGGGAGCGGCATCACTTTGAGCGGATGAACTATTGGATGTCTGCAAATTAAAATATCGGGTCAGGATCAAAGAATAGAGTAATTGAAATAAGTCATGGATCACTCCTGGGATTGATACCAAATCTGGTAAGCTGGACGTCTACGACTATCTGTTAAAGACTCTAATGTCGTGCAAGAGGAGTTCATTAAATGCATTATATATGAAGAACTGGGTTCCTAAGGGTTGCCTGACAATAGATTGTGACACCTTCAATTTCGAAGGTTGGTTGGAATAAATTCGTGATACGGACCCACCAGAGGACTGTCGAGTAGGGAAGGGTGTTGTATAGTGCGAAGCTGTCCTTTTGTTAGAACAGGAACATAAGAAAAATATTATTAGTAGTGCCGTCGTCTCGAAAGTTTTCGAACCCTCTTCTAGATCAGGCTGCTACACGGTTTTGTGCTCATGTGATAGGCCCGAAATTCTGAGATACCTAGACTAAAACAGGACACTCAATAGACTGATCCAAAACAAGACACTGGAGGTTACGGGGGCTCCATACGAGAAGTAAGAAATTAAAACAGTTAAAATCCTGAATGTGATGAATGAGTGAGTGACACAGGCCCAAGCATGCTTCAACATCAGAGGGTTTTACAATAGTTCATTTGTCTAAGGAAACAGATTTCACCTAACTTCCGGTTCGTGAAGTAACTTCATCCACCTGCAAGGACGTAGAGCAAGATCGAAGTAGCCGACCAAATCATGGGATGCGTCATTAGGAACACAAAACAAGTGTATAAAAAGGTGACTGGTTGTAGCTAGCCACCTTTTCTCTTGGCTTAGCATATCTTTGCTTTCTCTCTCGTAAGGTATGGATTCCCGCTCTCATGGTGTTTGCCACAGTACGGACGAAAGCTTAGCTAAGATTTATCGGGGTTGCAGGACGGTGAACCAAGGATTTCTTCGCACAATACATCAGTCTTACATACTCGGCAAGCATCATTCGATTTCAGGAGACCACGTCACGAATTCCTTCAAACCAACTTTTCCTTTAAGGTGGAAAGTCATGTCATTTTACTTGGCAGAAATCCAGCGCTACTCTTGTATCTAGACACTCATGAAAGAAAGATTTGGGTGCCATGTAGTCATTTTATACGTTTAAACATATCCAACAATTGATATTCACATATACATATATGATGTGGCATGAATTGTGGGACAGTTACGAGGCTACTGTTTACCTGAACCAAAACACAAAATGGTGATGTGGCAATGAAAGATTATAAAATAAAAATTAGCATTGT